TAATGTAGGGTTATAGGCCTAGCTAGAGATTAATTTGAGGGCATGATACAAATAATCAGCGTTTTGCGTGAGTCTCTATCCATGATACAAATACCAGTAACGGGCACCAACTATATTATACGTACATGATATAGCTTGGTACAGATGGTTGTAATTTGTTATATCTTCTATGTCATCTTGCGATATCGATAAATGTATGTAACATCTTCTATGTCATTTCGATCTCACCTGCCGATGACACACTACAGACATATCATCTCTACAATAAGTTAGCTCATAACACGATATCACTATCTAAAAAAATGATTTTTCACTACGAGAGCCATGGATCTTCGCATAGCTGTGGACAAATTGTATTTTCGACCGTGATGACCCGTCTACATAGTTGTGGACGGGGGTTCCCATGGTCATCCGCCGCTCGCTTAAGCATGCCACCTACGATAATGCCCCACGTGCGATAATATCCCTATTTTCGCAAGCGGACGGTTTAAGTGGGTCATCTGTGACTATTTATTTATGCAAACAACATCTTAAGCGGGTCATCTAAGAAAATGTCCACCTATGAGTATATATACTCTTCTTTCCCGCAAGCCCACCTATAAGTATATATACTCTTCTTCCCCATGAGTTACTCATTTTGCCCAAGTATTCTCTCTCCTAAGACACAAAATATATAGGGAGAGGTTTTGAACTCAAAATCTTTGGTTCTATTTTTAAGCTTTGGATACGATGGATCTATGTATGTTACATGTATATATATACCATGGACATGTCCTATAGTTACAGCTAGCCTATAAAGATCAATTTTTGCAGGCGGACGACTTGTAGACGGCCCATTGCCCCGCAACATACATAGATCAACTACCCATCAATCTAACTGCAAGCTAAAACCAACAAATCACCACGTTGTCTTACTAGCCGTTAAACAACCGAAGCACCATGTCTGGTCATCTGCCTATTGAATGTAGCTCATCCTCGAGCCACCCGACCTAGAGCGTTTAACTCCACCGATCAAGAACATCAATCACCTCCATCTTTAATACATCTTGTATGTCATGTCTGACCATCTCCTTGAAAGCAGCTTATGGAAAAGTCCGAATCACTTGCCCAAAGTGGTCGATACCACCAATTAGATCGTCAATCGCTTATGTGGTCAACAACCCAAGCACCACTTCTGGTCGCCTTCCTATCGAATAGTTCATGCCAACACCCAAAGTGCTTTGAATGCACCCAAAGTGCCATCGTGCTCCAGTTTACGTCAATGTCCCTCCTCCGACATTAGGTGTAGTAGTCGTGATGTGGGGCACCTACATCGCACTTCTACATGGAATCTCCTGTAGACTCTGATATCATTCATACTGATGATGACACTGGTAACATAGTTCAGTTGCAGCCTACATCTCCGAGACAATAATTACATATGTTCCTCCCTGATCTAGCATAGTTACAACGTATTATGGCATTAATGACCTTTACCGGCTAGGTCACTGGCCAGTTGTCCCTTACCTATGCTATAATCGCCATACGATTACAATATGTATGTTTCTATATTTAATATATTTAAGAGAGCCGAGTATAGACTCATACTCCTATAGCTGTAAAAAAATCCTGATTTATAACCGATTACATGCATATATTCAATACAAACGGTAACATATTACTAATGAAAAAAATAAGATAAATCATAGATAAACAGTGTGCTACCATATATTGGGTGGCTTATCCATGTTTATTGCACAGTGAGGTTAATCAATTTGTATATTTTGAATCATAATGCTTGTTGTATTGTACATTGAAAAGTTCCTACATTAGATCAAGTTTTACTACTACTTTCTAATTACTACTACTATTAATTAAGGTATCATGAGCGTGTCATTCGTACATTTGGTGATCGACATGCATGGCGCACTTCATCGGTATTCTAGCCCAGTCCCTATCTTAATCCTCCGTACACCCCTATATCTTGTTAATCAGTTAGCCTGCATTGTCTTGCGTTGAAGCATGATAATTAACAAATCATCAAGGATGTTAATTAACGAAAGGCTAGCTGCCTGCAAGTGGGTTAATTAGCTAGGGTTGGCAGATTAGATCATGCATATCTCCTTCCCCCATGTTCCTATGCGTACGTATTATATATCTTAGCCTCTTACTAACATTTGTATGAACACATATATTATAGTATTATTAGCTAATTAATTTATAACTTTTTAATTCCCATGTGCTTAACTTAATTGCTGCCATCGTTTTGATTAAATTAATCACTACTACCCCCAAGAATCTGGCACGTACCCTCTATCCCATTTTAAACTTAGCCATCATTTTCCGTGCCCAAATTTAATCATCCTTCTTATTTAAATTTTTTTTAAAAAAAAATAAAAACATAAGTTATGTATAAAATATTATTCATGTTTTATCATCTAATAACTATAAAAATATTAATCATAAAAAAATTCAAATAAGACATACGATCGAAGTTGACCACGAAAACTTATGGTTATAATTAAAATGAGGCGGAGGTAGCAGTATTTACTATATAGGCACTAGTATGTGGACATGGAGCATCAAATTAACTATTCAAGTCATACGCAGCCGGCTGCTGTTTGGTTAATTAATTTGCCATCGTACACTGCCACGTACTTTACTATAGTAGCTATAGTCGCTACTACTACGTAGGACTACCACATATACTTAATTAAATTAAGTTGGAAAATCTATATATTTGTTTCATGCGACTGCAAAAACGTATGATCCCACGGTCCTAAAATATAGCATATTCTAGCTAGCATTCAAAATTTATTTTAAAATATCTTCTCCCAACTAATAACGATCATTCTCTATTTACTTTTCTCTAACTTTTTTTTTCATCTCAACCAATCACAACCATTTTTAATTTAAACTCACTTACTTTCCTCCATGTTAAACTTTAAAGTTGTTTATATTTTGGGACAGAGGGAAGTACTCTGTTAGCTAGCCAGCAAAGGCGTGTGTGATGTCACCATTCTTTTCATGACGTAATTGCGTTCGAAGATAAATTGATAAATAAGTATGGTTCATTTGTTGACAACGTATATATAATTAATAAGCAGTGTCTGGTCACGTGAACACGTACTCTAGCCTTGCTCCAAACCTAACTATGTCTTCATTGATTATTTCAAGTTCATGCACAATGCCATTCTAGACCGGATCCCCTTTATACCCATAAAACTAAATGACTAATCATCATCCTAGATCTGCCTAAAAAGCAGGCTGATTAGGTGCAAAAACGTACAAATTAATTAAAGGAGTTGCAGTCAGATGCAGATATAAAAGGAAGAAAGAAAGCCATCACACATGCATGACATTAACCATCATCAGTTCAGTTAGGTTTTGCAGGCCACTACCTCCATTTTTAGTATCTAGAATTGGATGGAACATTTTCTACTACTACAAATCTAGTATTATGAATTTTAACAGAAAACCTATCCAGATTCACAGTGTTAGAAAATATCTCGTCTAGTTATAGATTCTTATGTTCCGGGACAGAGGGAGTAGTATTAATCAGGAGTTCATATCAGCATAAAACACTAGCATTGCTACGTATACCTGTGATGACTACTCAGTCAAAAAAAGAACGAAAAAGAAATTATGTTGTGCTATGAATAACACTGATAGCTCCGTGAAGATAACATGAAAAATAGCCAGGGGGTTGAAAAGTAAGGTAGTGACAACGTCAAGCAATACTAAGAAAGCATTAGATGTAACACTCACCAGATCTGCCACTTCTGTTGTTGCCTCCCTACTTTTCCTCCTCTATCAAAATATCGCACTTGTTGACTAAGAATAAATCACAAAAAAAGAGCAGTTTTTATTATTTTTTTCTTTTGGAAAAATAATGCAGACAAAGTATTGTTTCATGTTAGTAAACTTTTTTTTTTGGACAGGGGAGTAAACATCACCGTGGCAAATATATGTGCATCATAGTACTCCCTTCGTTTCACATTCTATCACATTCTAAGACGTTTTGGTCTCTTCATCCCTCATTTAGATTCATTAACGTTGATATAAATTTAGACACATACGAAGCACATACATGAATCTTTTCAAAACTCCATAACGTCTTTTAATGCGAAACCAAGTATGAGGTAACAGTTTCATGGCTGACCAATCATTCTTTCCCCAGAAAAGTTCATGACAAGCTTCATGCATCATCTGGTACGCTCGGCAACACCACCAAATGAACTTATCAGAGCACCGTCGCGCAAGAACCGGCTTTTTTCAGCTACCAAAAACTGTATTTTCGCTGAAAATTTTTAGTGCCAAACAGTGAGGTCTGAATAGTCTCTCAGACACTTAACCTGGCCCATCCCCAAGAAAACGACGATCAGCGCGTCTTCTCAAGTCTGAACTCCAAAGAAACAGGCAATTAAAGGCACAATAATCTGCCACTTGGGGTTGCAACCAATGGAAGGGATGGTCAGTCAATTATGGGTCTGAGCAAACACTGCTGCTGGATCCTTCCCCCTCTCGTACACTCAGATTCCAAAGATGCCCCTCCTCTCAACACATGAGGTCGTACTCCATAATGTACTGCATTATTGCTGTGCTACTGCAACTGCACCGGCAAACGCAGGTGTCACCTGACGATTCCACAAGTTTTTGCAGCCGTTGGGGAGCTCTAATGAGTCCATGGCCATCGCTTTCGGAGCAAGGACTCTGCATTCTGCAAAAGAAATAGACCGCCACAGTGCTAAAACGTTAGCGATCTGGCTCCGTCCATCTGTGGCACAGCTAGACGGCAGCATGTTTCCCAGTGACCCGGTGGGATGTGAAATGCCACATCTTTCCAATGGTTTCAGTCCCTTTCCAGGTCAGGTGTAGCCATCGTTGATGCATCACATCATCAATGCAGAAATAAACTAGGTCCTGCATCCATCTCCATTTTCACTTCGTTTTCTAGATGCTACTGTACATTATTAGGATCCATGCTCTGCAGTGATCTCTGAAGGATTTTAACACAGAAATGGATGGGGAACGTCTTGCAAATCTTTATTCTGAAAAATCTCAAGGTATCAAATTCTAGCAGGCTATAAAGCATATGGCAAAGCAGAGCTTAAGCAGCAGAATAAGAGAAGTCATCAAGGACGGTACGAAATGCATGATTCTGCTAAGGGGAGAGGGGAGGAAGCTAGCACGGTGGCGTGCCTATCTTGAAAAAGAAAAATCGCTGCCGTACTAGATGTCCGCATCGAACTTGCCACACTGCTTTCAATCGGCATCACCACCCCCACCATATGATATGCACCATCTGTACACGAGTCGCGACACCTAGCACACCAGGAATCAAGGAAGTCATCACTAAACAACATTAACGGAAGCAAGTTATCATTTAATGGTAATCAATCAACCTTGCGCCAAAACCAATAATAGCAAGAGAAACTAATTTCTTTCACAGCAATAAAAATTTGCAGAAAACATATGGTTGAAGAACAGCAGCTAAACAAGTAGTCAAAATTTATGAAAGTTTTTGTACTACTTTATTTCCTGTCTTCGTCATAAAAGTTAAACATGTATCACGATTAGCCTGCCAAATAAACTGTAACAACAGTTATTTTTGTTAGCAAATCAAGGAACAGTCTCCCTGTAATTATGCAAATAACAAGGGAAAATGATGGACATGACCCCATCATTCTTGGGAGCATCATAACAAGTACAAAAAAACAAATATAAGCAACAGTCTGATTATATTGTTCGTCATTATCCTCACCATTGTGCTTTGGACTCAAAGACCTCTCCAACACTATGTTCCCGCTTCCCAACACTTGTCACCCACTTTATTCTTCATGTACTCCATTATCCTCACCATCTATGTTCCTCCAATATCAGTGGGCATGTGCACCTACAAGCAACAAGGAATAACAGAATTATATACTTCCAAAAAGTATGATATTAGTCTGTTGTCTCAAAGGGAAAGTGGATCATGATATATTTACTGCTAACAGTAGAGGATGGTACTAAACAATCTGCTAGAGTGCCCAATAAGCCACACTTCGGTTAATTTGATTTGATGGATTAGTGCTGAAGATTTTTATGGTTTATCTGATTCCAACTTCAATGTAGAGCTGAAGAATTGGATATTTCAGGGGCATGGTAACCATCAGATTGAGGAAGTACACGAAAGAAGCAATGACGAAAGGAACTGCTGACTTGTTACAGCGCAAGGAAGCTGACTAATATAAAATTTTGTCCATTAATAGATATTGAAAACTTCACTGATTCCAATAATTTACTATATGCTTCAAAAGTTTTAACATTAAGCATAGCTTTCTTGTGTGTTATACATGCATCGCCCCTTGCACAACATTCACATTGAACATGATATTGGGAACTCAGTAAGATCAGCTTCCGCAAGGTTCTTGATCAGTGAACTGTGGCACTGTGCAGTGCTCAATCTTTTCTCTTTTGTGAAGATGGTGTTGTATTGAGGCCAACGTTATGAAAGGTTTTCTCAAGGATTACAGATATGCTGGTCAAGGATAGTACACTGTTAGTGATAATTCTCGTGCCAAACAGTAGTTAAACTACCACTTTGCTAACAACAAGATAGGTGTTTCTTTTTGTGGAACAACTCTACCTATGTGCCATAGATTTGTAATGCTATCAGCCTATCATATAGGTCAATCATACCACCTTTAAGTTTTCAGATTCAACTAGGTAGGTTTAAGCCAGAATTTCAAGGATCATAAGTGCTGTATGTGTCTCTGTGTTGGCAACATCGCTAGGGCTGCATTCGTTCCTGCTGCTTCCCAACTCACCCCCCCCCCCCCCTCGTTTTCCACGTGCAAGCTTCCCAAACTACTAAATGGTACGTTTTTTACAAAAAATTTCTATATGAAAATTGCTTTAAAAATCATATTAATCCATTTTCAAAAAAAAGTTAATGCTTAATTAATCATGCAATAATACGTGCTTCGTTTTGCGTGCTGGGGAGGAGGGGTTCCCAACATAGCCTAGAAATGTTTCAATTCAACATGGTAAGTGTTGCAGAACCTAACTTGGGCTTTGCATAGATAATTGTATTAGCATATGCCACTGTTTTCTTTAGATAAATTTTGGTTCCGAAAGATTAAACTAATTCTGAAATATTATCTGTATTATCATTTTATTATATTATTTCTAATATCGATTAATGAGTTAAGAAAGCTTACAATTGGAGCTGCTTAACTGCTTGAGATCTTTCAACAGCAGCAAAAGAGAGTTTATAGAAATCAGTAAGTTCTTGAATTCAAAGAATTTCTTCATCTATTTTACATCTGGGTATATTTGGACTTTTTTAAAATCTACCATTATTGAGATTGGTAACTGACCCAAGAAATTTGATTGTGCTGCAAAGCAACTCGATTAAGCTTCACACATACCATGGTGGTCAATCACTATAATCCCCCATGTTACCTACTGGATTTATCGACCCTATATTTGGCAAACCCCTTTGATCCAACACTAATTTTCTGTATCAGGAGGTAAGATGCCAAGGTGGCAAAGTCGTGTACCACGCACTGAATGTTTGCATACAGATCAGAATCCCTCTGTGGGAATCACCAATTGTTAGCAATTTTCTCTTTAGTAAATTATGAAGTACTGAATACTGAAAAAGGCGCAATTTGCATTTATTTTCTTAACCCATGTTACTTTTTAGCAATATGCAGCCCAAAATAACAAGCTAACATAATCTGAATATCCATAATAATCCCGTACTGGAAAAAAGGAACTTTGTGTAACTTTTTTTTTTCCTAATTTGAAGTCTAAATGCTCACAAGGAAAATCACCCCTAATGATCACGGCGAAACACGCAGCATCTCACGATAAGTAGCATCGAACAACCACACGAAAGAAGCGAACAGGATTTCATCCCCTGAGTCTAATTGTTACAGCATCACTGCAATTTACAACCAGAATGGAGAGTGACATCATGCTAGGTGCGACCAAAGATTTTTTATAAATCAAAGAGATCGCCATCGCCAAATGCTAAAAACCAAGCCACCACGCCAGCGCCGCCAGGCAATCTGCAGCAGTTGGGATTGGGCGTGGCGTGCGTGATGCGAGGTACATCTCGCCGAGGAACAAAACATCCCACAGGGGATGGAGCGAGAGAGGGAGAAGAGATGCGCACCTTGCGAGCCGCGCCGGGTGGGGGCCGAGAAGGAGGAAGAGGGTGAGAGCGAAACCCTAATTTGATGCGCCATTGCCGCCGCGGCCGCGCCCCGCCGCGAGGCGAGGGGAACCAGTAGTCCCCGTACCGTACGCCGGAGGATGGAGGAAGGAGAAGAGTGTGGATGGCTTGCTCGTTGCCCGATGTGGGCCACACGGTGTAGGCCCAAAATGAGGCCCATTCATCCAAGCAACGGGCCCGCGTTTCGTAGGCTCGAGTTTTTAGTTCTGAAAATAAGTCTACTGTAACTCGCTCGATTATAGGTTGAATTTAATTATGGGTCTATTCACTTTGATGGCATTTTCAACCTTACCAAATTTTGGCAAAGTTACCAAAAAAGTAGTTATATTTAGTTTCCTGCCAAATTTTGATAACTATATAAGAAATCATGCCAAAATTTTGGCAAGTTTTTAAATTTTTGGCAACTATACCAAAATTTTGGTAATGCCAAAATTTAGTAAGGTTTTTTTAGCATTAAAGTGAACAGGCCCTATATCTCAACCATAATACCAAATATCTTGAACCCTACAATTTATAAAACCAGTGTAATTCGACTCTCTCGAAAATATTGACGATGGGGCTCATTGACCTGATCCAACCAGTTGAGTCAGCATGCGGAACCCACATGTCAGCCATATCTCTCTTCCTCCTTCCCTCTCCTTTCCTCACACCACTGCACCAGCACTAGTGGGGACGATAGTCGGCGACGGTGCAATCCCCACCGGCATCAACATGTGTGTATAACTTGGCATGAAACTCATGTTGAAAAGTGGTACTGGTAGTCTCTGCTGCCTAGCTGGCTAACTCGCAGAATATGGTGAACGTTTTTAGCTATCTTGAGAAACACAAAGATGCACATACGAATAGACACATGGTATTTCAATTATTGGGCCGGATCTTTTTGTTTGGGCCATATTATCCTATTCTTTCTATAAAGGATAAGTTCACCTTTGTCCCTCAACTTTACACCAAGTCTATTTGACATCCCTTATTCTCAACACTAGAAATCCACCCCTAAACTATACAAACCGTACAATTTATATCCCATAGCAATATAGATGCCTGCTTTCACTGACGTAGCATCCTAATTAGCCAAAAAAAGTATGTGGGGCCCACATGTAAGTGAGAGAAAATAATGTGGGCCCCACATCTCTTTTTTATTTTCTTTCTTCTCTTCTCTCCTTGCTTCTCTTCTCACTTCTCAGGAGGTCGCCGGCGGCAGATGGGGGATAGGCGGCCGGCGAGCCTAGTTGAGCTCGGCCACCACACCCGACGACAATGCACACGTGCTAGTGCGGTGCCCATGTGTTGACGTAAAACACGAGGCCTGGGAGATCTGCTTAACTCCAATGCAGGTCCAAAGCTCGCCCCCGCTGCCGCACCCGATGATGACGACGTGTGCATGTGAGTGTGCTCCACCTCCCGACCAAGCACCCCGCCTCTGCTCATCGTCAGCTATCGGTATCATCTCGCCACCAGCGATGTTGTTTTTTTGTTGTTGGCCATCATCCATGCACCGCTGTCAGAGCCAGCCCCATCGGCGCCACCGGACGCCACACCTCCTCCCGAAGACTGCGTTGCCAAAGCTGCTACCGACCATCGCAGCTGGCTCTGTGGCAGCATCGACTTCACTTCATCATCATTGTCGCTCGCTGGATCTACTCTCCCCCTCTCCGCCGCCGCAGCCGACTCCCGCTGAATCGATTAGTCGCTCGCGTGGATGGGTGGATACTGAATATTGCTAGTGTTTGATGGGAGGTGTGGGAGATAGGTGGGTGAAGTGCGGCAAGATCGCCGGCACGACGCCTTCCTTGGCGAGCGACGGGATCCATGCGGCGGTGGCGGCGAGGAGGAGGGGAGGCCGAGAGGGGACCATTCCACGCTGGCGTAATGCCTTCCTAGGCTAGCGGAGGGATCCATGTGGTAGTGCCTTCCCTAGGCCGTAACGAGATCCATCTGCCGCCGACGATGAGGAGGAGAGGCCGAGTGCCTGAGAAGAGAAGAAAGAAGGGATGTGGAGACCACATTATTTTCTCTCACTTACATGCAGGCCTCGCATATATATTTTTCCTGACTACGATGCCATGTCAGTGAAACCAGACATCTATACTCCTATAGGACCTAAATTGCATGGTTTTGTATAGTTTAGAGATAAAGATTTCTGGTATTAAGGATAAGGGATATTAAACAAACTCGTTGTAAAGTTGAGGGAAAGCAGGTGAACTTATTCCTTTCTATAATTTTATTCGGATGATCCATTCAACCCAGCCCAGAAAGGCCCAACAAACTCTAGGCCGGTCTTAGTCTAGTGGGCCAGTCCCTAGAAGCTTCTCATGTACTGGTCTGCTTGCATTTATTCACCATGAATTTGTTACGAGGTTGTGACGACCTTGCGATGCACATATATGTTGTCTGATATGTTGATGATAATAGGTTATATTATGTTCTTGTTATTATCTGTGAGATCGCCTTCTTAACATAAGTTTAAAGAGGCAGAAATTAGTGATACATCTTATCGATCTGTATCTTAAATGACATCACTGAATTTGTATGGTCATCATGATTTAAACATTAGGTGTGAAATCATGCAGCACGACTTCATCACCACACTTATGTTGATTTGATAATTAAAGGTTATGTAAAATCTTGGACTTGACTTGTTATGGATGCAAATTTCGGGAATACATACCTCTAAATAAACAAACAAAATTTTTGCAAACAATTGCCACATAAACTTTCAATTATTCTCATTTTGTCAATACTTCCTCTATACCGGCAAGCCGAAAAATGAATGAGCAAAAAGAATCTAAAGAAAAAAAAATCCTACAATTACATAAACATTTCTGTGAATTTCGCACTACCAAACATGGCCGTGTGATCGTCTTCTTCGTGTAGCTACTTCTTCAAGCTTCAGGCGGCGCCGTTGCAGAGGGCGGCGCGATCGCCGGCGTTGGCCAGCAGCGGCGGCGCCTTGACGAGCGAGTTCTCGCCCTCGACGAGCGGCACGATCGGCTCCTCGTCGTCCTGCCCTGCCTTCTCGACGTCCTCCGTGCTGAGGAAGCACGGCTGGTTCGTCGAGCAGAGCACCCTCGCCCACATCCTGTCCGTGATGACCACCTTGTTCTGCTTCTCCGTGATCCTCTGCAGCAAAAATTTCCCCAATCTCAATCAGCTCGAATTCATGGCGAAAGAAGAATTAATGGAGGAAGAGGAGACGAAGCTTACGTAGAAGGGGATGTAGGCGTGGCGGCCATTGACGGGTGCGACGGTGAAGCCGGTGTACCCGGCCATGGCGCCATGGATGGCGCTGTGGGCGAGCAGCGAGCAGTAGACGTTGTCGGAGGCGTTGGACGGCACGGCGCGGATCATGTACGTGGGGTCGATGTACTTGAGCGTGATGGGGAAATTCGCCTTCTTCTTGAAGTGATCCTTGATCTTGGCGCACAGCCAGAGGCCGACGTCGAGGAGCACCTTGTTGCCCGACGCGTCGTGCGCGTCGGCGAGGCGCATGCTCCTGGCGATCACGTCCTGGCCGGCGCCCTCGGCGACGACGATCACCATGTGGCCGTTCTCGCGCAGCCGCTTCTCGGCGAACTCGAGGAGGCCGCCCTTGCCTTCGAGGTAGAAGGGGGACTCCGGGATGAGGCACAGGTCGACGTCGCGGCTGGCGAGCGTGGCGTACATGGCGATGAAGCCGCTGTTCCGCCCCATGAGCTTGACGACGCCGACGCCGTTCTCGGCGCTCTCGGCCTCGACGTGGGCGGCGTTGATGGCGCGCTGGGCCTCCTCCACGGCGGTGTCGAACCCGAACGAGCGGTCGATCACGGCGATGTCGTTGTCGATCGTCTTGGGGACGCCGACCACCGCGCACTTGAGCCCGCGCCTCTGCACCTCGGCGTGGATCGTCGCCGCGCCCTTCTGCGTGCCGTCGCCGCCGATGATGTACACCTGGTTGATGCCACGGTCCTGGATGCTGTCGACGATCTTGCCCGTGTCCTGGCCGCCGCGCGACGTGCCGAGCACCGTGCCGCCGCGCTTGTGGATGCCGTTGACGGAGCGCGGGGTGAGCTCCACCGTGTTGCGCGCGTAGAACCCGCGGTACCCGCCCTCGATGCCCACCACGCTCGTCACGCCGTACATGTCGTGGAGGCCGCAGACGAGCTCGCGGATGACGGTGTTCAAGCCCGGGCACAGCCCGCCGCAGGTGACGATAGCCGCCGACACCTCGTCGGGCTGGAAGAACACCCGCTGCCGCGGCCCGGCTCGCCGGAAGTGCGTCCCCCGCGCGCTCCCCTTGTGCACCACGATCTTCTTCGCCACCGTGTCGTCGGCGTTCACGAAGTACTGCCTGCAAAACGATCGAACAGTTACAAACCTGGAATAATCCGAAAAGGGAAAAAAGATCGCCGGAGTCGGAGAAGAAGAAGAGGGGAGGCTCGCTTACTTGACGACGGAGTAGGCGGGGTGGTTCTGGAGGGGGTTGGGGAAGGAGGGGAGGTTGGGGAGGTAGTCGGTGAGGTGGGGCACGTCCTCGAGGACGTACCCGCCGGCGCCGCCGGCGAGCTTCTTCTTGGGAGCAGCAGCGACCACCTTGGCGGCGGCCTTCTTCGCCGGCGCCGGGAACGGCGGCAACTCCAGGTCAAGGAGCTTCTTCTCCAGCGCCTTGGCGGCAGCATCCGCCGCCGGAATCGGAGCAGCGACAACCGTGGCGGCCTCCATTGATCTTCGCAGCAGACGAGCAGACAACAAATCAAATCAAATCAATCGAGAGCGAACTGTTTCGATGGATCGATTTATTGGGAGGATTTAGAGGAGAGTGTGAGATGATTCCGATACTGAGATTGTGCTGTTTGGTGTGGGATGCGGTTAATCGGGCGCGGAATTTATATCGCGCGCGCGACGCCGAGGCGAAGGCGGAGTCGGGGTGGGACAGAAACGGGGGGCTTCGCTCGAGGGTGCGGCCGTGCGCGTGGGTTTCTTCAGCCATTGTATTCTCAGATTCTCTTTAAAGTTTTGTAATGATCCTTTTTTTTTTTTGTTTGAAGGGAAGATTCGTTTTTGCTCACTGTTCCACGCGCATCGTTTTTTTTCACCTACTGAACACTCTGAACCTGTTCTTTTTTAAGCGACGGGTGGTTATTTTGTATTCGGTTTAGTGTGAATTTCACTTGAAAATTTTGGACCATGGTCCCTCTTTGGTTTTTTTCCTAGTACACGATCTAGTTGACGATAGTTGCTACCCTGTGTCACTAACAGTAGATTGGCTGGCATCAACTATTTTCAATTGGAGGTGGTTCTTGAGGTTTTCTGCTCGCTAAATATTCATACTACTTAGTGTTTTAGTTCTATGAGAATAACAATATATCTGACTGACACATAATTATTAATTGGCAAATTTTACAACAGGACATCGTGACTTCGCGGTTTTAGCCGTAGAACACTACGCGGAGTGACTTTTAAGGAAGACACATTTAAAAGTTGGATATTTGCTGGTGGACACCGCACCCATTAAAATAATAATTTCCAGACGAGGAGGAGAGAGAATTCATGTGAAATGTCAAAAATATAATTGGGCCCACATGTCAGCACTCTTATCTCTCTTCTCTCTATCCGGCGGCAACAGTGCCGCAGCCCTCGCGCCCGTGCCGCCGTGTGGTGCCGCAGCCGCAGCCACGCGGCCCTCGCCGTCCTCCCGCGCAGCCCCCGGCCCCACGCCGCCTTGCGGTGCCACAGCCGCAGCCACGCGGCCCTCGCCGTCCTCCCGCGCAGCCCCCGGCCCCGCGCCGCCATGCGGTGCCGCAGCCGCAGCCACGTGGCCCTCGCCGTCCTCTCGCGCCCTATAAACGGCCTCCGCTTACACACACATGCATTGCAGCGTAGGAGCGCATCCAAATGCCTCCGCTGCTCATCGCCTCCTCCTTGCCGGCGCGTCAGGGTCACGGCCTCCATCGACGATGTCGGTGCGAACGACAACGCTAGGAGTAGAGGAGGTTTCCCGGGGTTCCTCCCCACAGCGGTGGAGCAGATCCACGACGAACCTGCCATTCGCCTCACCAAGCGAATCGAGCGAGTACCCGTCCAGGCGAGCTGTTGAATCCCCGCCAAGTGAAGCGCCGGTACCGTTTGCTATTGTCGTTGCCGGATAGAGAGAGGAGAGATAGGAGTGCTGTGGGCCCAAGAACATCTTAGACATTTCACACGATTTTTCTCTCATCCTCACCCGGCATTTATTATTTTAATGCGTGCAGTGTCCACCAGCAAATATTCAACTTTTGATAGTGTCTTCCCTAAATGTCACTTCGCGCGGTGTCCTATAGGCTAAAACCGCGAAGTCACGATGCATTGTAGCAAAATGTTCCTTATTAATTTCTCCGTTTCACAATATAAATATATTTTCATTAGCCTATCCGTTTCATATTATATGTTGCTTTGACTTTTTTCACAGGCAAATTTATTTAGGTTTGATTAAATTTATAAGAAAAAAATTAGCAACATTTATAACAATAAATTAGTTTTATTAAATATAGCAGTGAATATATTTTCATAATACTGTTTGTTTTGAGTTGAAAATGGTGTTATATTTTTCAATAAATTTGTTTGACTTGTATAAATCAAAACAACTTATAATATGAAACGGGAGGAATACTGTAGATATATTTTGATACGGATAGAGTAGTATGTATTTTACACCACATTGATATTTGTGGAAAGTACAAGAATTAACTGATTCTAAGGTACAAATTGAGTATAATTAATTAACCCCTTGGGTGAAAGTCATATTACTCCACTATGGTAAAAAAAGATTCGAGGTTTGAGTGGCAGTAAAGAGCCGTTCAATGTTGACTCAGCTGCGTACGTGGTAGGAACGAGGCCTTGGTGGGCCCTACTCGGCTTGGGACTACATGCTTCAGGTGGGACCCACATGGACCCATCGGTCAACGACGCATGCAGCCATCGAAATGGAAGTTAAGCTCACCGTCACCGGATTGAACGAAGCGGAACGGCCAAGAGCGACGAAGAGAGTCGTGGCCGCCAAAGGACTTAAAATATTTTTCTTGGTCCAACCCTCCCAAGAGTGTTGTCGTAATTAACCTACTGGTCAATTTTGGGGGAAAAAAGAGAAAGAAACGAAAACAAGTGACATTTTCTGCACGAGAAAAATGTGAAATAAGGTGTGGCTATAGCTAATTATGGTATGACTACCCTGCAACTAAACTATTACTTACTCTGTATCAACATAAGTTACGAGTTATATCTAGACTTGATGTAAAAATATAAATTCTTTTCGGATGGATGTACTACAATGTACTACTCCCGTGTCAAAATAGTCATCATTATAGGTTGTTTATAATATACGAAGGTTTGAAAAAGAAATATTAAAGTGTCTGTTATTAAGTTATTAAATGATGCATGGTTAAGAGGGAGAGGATGGGTTAGGGCAATAAATAAATAAATATGAGGTAATTAATGGGACAAGTATAGTAATACAGAGTGACAACTATTTTTTAAAACAAATTTTAAATCTAAAAAGATAATTTTTTAAGTACGGAGGAAGTAAATGTTAGTGTGTTCCCATATTGTGGCTCGAAGTACTACTCGTAAAGAGCTAATGAACTCTTCTATAATTTTTGCAAGGTGACAGAAAATCTAGACAACGGTATTCCGTTGGAATGGAATATCCTTCTATGAGACCGTACCTGATATACCTGTGATACCTGTTACTCGGTACCTGTGATACCTAGAACCTGATATCTGTGATACTCGTGCAAGAGAATAATTAATATGTCTATCCCGTTGCAACATGATCCCATTTTATAGCAGCCCTCAGGTGATAAATACCACTATTTTTTTATCACATGGAAGATATATATGTATGTAAACCACTACAAATGTACACCATACTCACACACCCGAAAACACTCACTATTAACACATGTTAAAAAGACACTCACTATTAACACATGTTAAAAAGACAGACAAACGGCGCATCCTTATTCTCACTAAGATCCTATTAAAAGTGCACCCTATGCATGAGTAATATTAGTGGAGACTAAAATTCGAACTCTAATGAATAAAGTCAATGACATAACTTTACCACCATGCACACCGGTGCTTCTCTAATACCGCTCATTTATTCCCATCCAATTCCTATTAAGCCGCAACTTGGAATCATTGGCAAGTTTGAAGACATGTTAAGCCAAAATATAAAAATCTATCTGGAACAATCATATCAAGCATATGCTTTAATTGGATCCTCGCGTAGAATCTACTCTCGAGTTTGGACACAAGACGTACAACCTTCCCTAATTGAACCCTACACTTATTTGGAGCTATATATATTCAATTCCCATGGCTTGTGTTTGCATCTTTAGTATTCCCTTGGGCATGCCCATTGGATACCAAATTCCAAAGAACCCTAGAATGGGAGAACCGGTTTATTTGACTTGCAAGAATCTCCGTTCCTTGATACCATTGTGTCGTATATATTAGTTTCATTGACAAAACCAAGAAGGGGAAAAAACAATGGACGCCAAATTTGTTGGAGCTATGCTGTTCATAGTTTCACTAGGAAGGAGAATATGCACATCTTCTGTGTATTTTCCGAAGTATATACTCCAATTCATAGAAATTTAGACTTCCTTTAAAATTTTTGTCTCCAACCAAAAAGACAGTTTATGAAATTAACATAGTTTTTTTTCTGCAAAGAGAATAAAAATATATACCCCTGACACGTTGACAAGATCGAATCCATGTTTGGTTTGTATCAAGAAAAAGAAATAGCAACTTGTAGTTTTTAGTTAATCAATTAAGTTCATGATATGTCTCTGGCTGTGTTTATAAGCTATCAATCACTCGAATAGAACTTATCAAGTCGGCAAGTTGATCCAGTCGACTGCCCTAGCCAGATTACATGTCAACCTATGACAGTTTGGATAAGTGAGCTTTTTCTAGATTCCCACTAAGACTTCTTTTTCAATAAAATTATTTTGTAGAAAAGCAGAGGAATTAGTTCCAAAGAAAAAAAATTACGTGAGGCCTTAATTTGGATCGGAGGGTTTATAATGAAGGAATTTTAATCAACAGATCATAAACTTTTTGCATGTTTGAAAGAATTTTAGTCTAAGGTTTAACAATAAGTTAATTTGTTTGAATGTCCAAAATGCATCTTCTCTCTTTCTCTCTTAATTTATTTGAAAGAATTCTAGCACAAAAGGTTTATGATTTCAATGTTCAAAATGCATTTATCTGTACATCAAATTCTTTTGTCTTTTTCATGTACATCGAAACACCTGTTTCAAGCAATACTATGTCTTTTTTTTTGTGGCAAAACATCTATACCCATCTTTCAACGCTTATAACTAAGTTTAGTTTTCACTCAATTACAAAAGTGAGCGAAACCTGTCATTGGTGTGGTTGGCCTACTTGTAATAGAGAAGAACAATTAATATGACGTAAGGGCCATATCTAATATTGTTTTATAGATGGTATAGAGAAGTAACCTTCGTACTCAAATTGATGTGTATGACGTGCAAGAATACGTTCAATCAAATATCGAAAACTTAAATAATTACTTGATCATTAGAATTTAATATGAGAAAATGTTATTGGTAGGTTTATCATGAAAAAACACTTCTATACGATTACATTTTTATAAATATATAGTTAGAAAAATTAATCATGAGGCTTTGCATGGGAGAGGTGTCGAAGACTAAAACGTGAGAACATAATTAAGTAAATATTGATATAGTTATAAGGCACTAAGAATACTCTTAAATTAAATACTACTAGCTAGCCAGTGCATACTACAACTTTACACACATTAATTTATAAAGCATGTCTTAATTAATTTTGATTTTTTACTCACCTTATAGTTTTCATAAATACTTTGTTTTCTGCGAAAAAAACTAATAATGCGCGAAACCGTCCGGGCACACAGATAGCTACTCTCAGCCTCCTCAAACA